CTCCCCACCCCCACTCCACACACACCCCCAGCACCACCCCTCCCGGCACTCGGTGTCCTGCTCACGCCACGGGGCAGGCCAGGGTTCCAGAAACCAGACCCGGGACAGGGACTCACTGGGACAGAGTCATGGGCGGAAGACGCCTGCTCCGCCGCTGTGGCTGGGAGGACCGGTCCCGGGTGGGGAAAGAGCCTGGAGAGATGGCCCCACACACGCCTCCCTGCAGCATCCTGCCTCCGGGCAGAAATCTGCTTAAGCTCTTTCCAATTCCTTAGGGAGAAATCATTTGCATGAATTAATTGATTGATGAATTAATTCAAGACTCTAAGGCTGGTGTGAAGACACTTAACACTGGAGTTCTGTCAACTTATTGTTCAGCTGACTCAAAAGTCTCAGAACAAAGAAAACAAAGGGCACATTTATAAGTTTGGTTATTTGAAAATGTGAAAATCTGGCCCCGGGGTGTCTTTGACCTTGAGAAGCACAACTCGGTCATTTTAGAGGTTTCTCCCTCCCCCTCAAGCTTTCTCTGAAAGCAGGCACTTCCCGTTTGTATCAGTCTGTATCTGTTGCTGTGTAACAAATGACTTCAAATGTTACAACTTTAAACAACAGCCTCTTGTTTGCTCACAGGTCTCTTGGCTGGGCCTGGCCGGGTCAGGCTGTTCTGCCGGGGCTCGCTCAGGCCCCGTCTGGGGGCAGGATGGGGTGGAGTGTCTGAGACGGCCTCCGTCCAGGCTTCAGGGCCTCTGCTGGAAGCTGGGTCTCTTTCTCCTCGCAGTCTCTTGAGGCCCGGAGCTCCCAGAATGTCACTAACATCACAGCCTATTAGGCAAAGCAGCTGGCAAAGCCCACCACATGCAGGGGTGGACAAGCTGCAAGGCCTGAGGCCGTGGCTGATCTCCGACCCTGCCAGGTGCTGCGTCCTGACAAGAGAGAACTCACCTGCTCCGCCTCGCTGTGGCGCCGGCTTTCTTTATCGTTCCTGGTTTTGCATCCTGGGGATCCTGATAAAAGGGCGAAATCTGAGAAACTCGACGTTTCTTAAGCGTAGCGCCTTCTAGCTTTAGCTACAAAACATTTTAACTTACAGCACATCGGGATTTATTACCTAAATAAACCATCCTTTCCCCTTTAATGGGCCACACATCATAATTTTATGAACCAACCAAATTACATGCAGCACATATGAGTATTTCTAAACCCAAATTGCTCCACATGTGTGAAAAGATAAAACACTGAAACCGCATATATTTCCATTTTCCCTAGATTTTATTTCCTTACGGTTTTTTCCTATAACTTCAGGATTCCCAGACATTTTCATCCCAGGCAGGAGCATCAAATGCCTCGTGTTCTGTGCCCGGCTGTGCTGGGAGCTGGGGCCACAGGGGCCACCAAGATACGACCCCTAACATTGTGGTAGCCAGTCTCAAGGGGGACGCGGATGTCATCCTGGATGACCACGCAGTCCTCTGCTGTGACAGGTCCTAAGGACCAGAGAACGGAGGCTGCTGTCAGCTTTGCTCCGGGATGAACCTGTGGAATCGGGTGCAGGTCCCAAGCACAGTGTCTTGAATTAATTCATCAATCAATTAATTCATGCAAATGATTTCCCCCTGAGGAGGAGGAAAGGGCTTAAGCAGACTTGTGCCTGGAGGCAGTTGCTGCAGGGCAGTGTGGGGGGCCGTCTCTTCAGGGCTCCTTCCCCAGCCTGGACCAGTCCCTGGGGCCACTGCAGCGGAGCAGGGGTCTTCCACCCATGACTGTCCCGGGGGGCCCTGTCCTGGATCTGGTTTCTGGAACCCTGGCCTGCCCTGC